AGAACTAAAGTTGAATTAGACTCATGGATAGCTATTTTAATGGAAGCTGTAAGTATGGATGTTACTTTGAGTGGTTCGGCAGAACGAATTGCCAATTTATCAAAAGATAAATCTAAATTGGACATAGGACAGACTGCTGGATACATGCCATCTCCACGAATAAGTCGGAGACCAGAAATATTAAACCTTGGTTCACCACTACTAAATAATGGACAAACTAGTTCTTTAACTGACTTCCGAAGAAGAATCAGACGCGAGGAGGAACCTGAGCACAGTCCTGGTATACCGCTCAAGGCATCACATTCAGACGAAAAAAACATTCAGAAAAGTATCAAATCAAAAGGACTTTCATTAAATTTCAAATCGTTTGGAAGTCTTGACAGCTTGGTAAAGAAACAGAAACGATCTCGAAGTGCGGATGATTCCATGATTCCCGAAAGAAGATCTCTGGATGACTCCAGACATAGGATTATTTCTGAGATGGATGTTGTAGATTACCCGAAGTCGCCCAATGGACACTCGAGATTTAAAGTGCTTGAAACAAGTGGATTGTCCGATGGAATTGGCCCGGTTGTTCGTCGTCAGGTATCCGACATCAAAGACAGGTTCTTTAATGGGACGTCATACAGTGGTGTACCTGGTGTAAGACTGGGGGAATTGACTAGTGAAAAGGCTTCAGGTTACCTGCAATATAGGGTTATGATGAAATGGATTAATATTTGGTGTGTTATTGCGAGGAACTGTTTTTATGGATTCAAAACTCAGAATGACTACGAGATACCGATTGTGGCAGTGGTTTTGAAACAATGTATGGTAAATTACGACTCCAACACTTCAAGACAAACAAAAGACTTAAATGTTTTTAAGCTTTCTCAGTCGCATTGCAAGGACATTTATCTCTCTGCTGAAAGTGCAAAGGAGCTCCGCCGTTGGTTGCAGCATCTGAAGCAGTTCTGTCCAATACACGCAGATGACGATCTGAGCATCGCTAATTCTTCGGAGTGTACTCAAAGTTACGACAGTGCTTTCAGTAACGTTTCTGTTGCATCTAGCCATGACTTCAATGACAAACCAATCATCTTTACCTCAACGAACAGTTCACCTCAAAATGATGAGGTTTTCAGCACCGAAGCACGTCTTGATGTATCATCTCCAGAGGATTGGGAGGCTTTCCACGACGACGACACCATTTCTGAGCTTAACGACCCATTTAATCGTCCGCCACCGTCGTTAAGTTTATCAGCAAGAAAGGAAAAGAACCATTTTTTACACATACTCCGATCCAAGTTAAAATTGAACGTCATTAGAAAGAAAAGTTTACCAGATAATTTGGAAAGGGAGTTAATGTCACCAGCTGGACATGGTATTTTGGTGCTAGATGATTCAGCTTCTAGTCCATCGAAGGTGAGTTTAAAACATTTTATGAAATAACAGTGGGTATGTTAACAATTAACACCCTATTTAAAGGGTTTTTATCTTTTTCAAGATAAATTTAATCATTAAAAACTATAATTGGATGCCTTAGCCAATGTTGATTTTGCCTAAACATTATAAGAACGAGTTTAAAGTATCTTGCGATTGTAAGAGTTATGTACCTTGAATAGCGTATTGATTACACTCACAACCATTTCATTGCTTCTCATGTTATTGCAGAAAAATTGTGTTTCTGAAATTCTTAACATAAGTTGGGAATTTAGGCCCCACGTTCATTGGATCTTCATGGTATAACTGGTGGTAAAGGCTCAAACTTAAAGATAGTTTCGACACCACATACAAACAGATCTACGTCCTCAAAAAACCCATATAATATTAATAGGCATAATCTCTCAGTAAAGTATTCAAACCAAATTCGGATTAAATTCAGATATGTTTAAATTCAAATCCGAGTGTAGGGTCTTTATCTCCTGAAACCAGTATCTTCTTACGTTTTATATTCAGGTATTAACGTTAAAATTGTTCAGTTAGTTCAATTAATTATGGGACCTTTTTGCGAGGTTGAAATATAGGTTTTCTAAAACGTAATGGGTCACTTAACCTATGTTGTCCATTACTATAGTTTTATATGATTAATTAATATCCAGTTTTGATGTTAGAAAAAAGCCTGAGGCTAATATAACAGATTTACCTATTCGGGTTAATTGATAGTTAGAATCAAATTTGGCTTAGTAGGTGTCCTTGTACTATATCTGTATTTAAAGAGATTCATTCAGCTTCTATGATTCATTTCATTTCGATAATTATGAAAGCTAGTAACAATGCTAAACACAGAAATATTCTGCCTTGGTCGTGATAAACAGGAAAATTAGGAAATAGTGAAATTTACCATCTTCAGGTTTTACCAATCCCTTGTGTCAATCATTTATTGTTGGTCTATTGAATGCTGTATGGTCTTTGTCTGTAATTTTGATTGTAAGGGACTTTAGATTGCATATTAAATTGTCAGATGTTATTTTATCTGCTATAACGTCATATATCACAATGAGTCTGTTTAAACATTCTCATTTCATTGCAAACTGAATATTTTTTCAAAAGTTTTGATATTACTGAACTGAACTGGTCTGTAATTCACCGGACACTAATGTAGATGGAGTTTCGTCATCCTCAATACTGCCTCTTTAAAGTTGCGGTATGACTGTGAAACTGATGTGACATTTAGATGAGAGCCAAACACAGATAATACAACAATAGTATTTAGTTTATTTGGTTATTTATGTGAGCAGACTACAAACTGCGAGTTAGATTACATTCTGAAACAAATCAGCTATGACATTAACATACAAACAGTTTTAAGGTGGAGAGGACAAGGTGTGCCCTTTTAGATGGTTTTAAGAGAATTAAAGAACACAAAGAATTGTGTCGTGTCTTGTGGGTGTTATTTTGAGCTCACATTTGTTGCTGCAGTATATCTTTTTACGCCCAGTCAGGTATCTTTTTTTGGGATTAAAGATCTTCTACAATCATTGATAATTAGTTCATTACATAGTTGACATTGCTTTTAGTGACTTTGGGTTTCAAAGACCATATTGTGTGAGGGTCAAGAACCATTTCGGTCACCCAGTAGCTGATGATGCTATGAAGACAGAATAACAAGGGTACCCAAACTAAGAAGAATCTGAACTACTCAAAGTTACGCATCTTGTCTTTACTCTCAGAGAGTTAATGTAACTATATCATGGCCTGAATCATCAGTAATTGGTAGTAACCACTCACCATAATTTGGTGATAACCAGTCACCATTAAATTGTAGAAGCCATTCCGTGGTGGTAGCCAGTCACCATTATTTGGTAATAACCAGTCAGCTATTCATTGGTGGTAACCAATGACCATTATTTGGTGATAAACAGTCACCATTCATTGGTGCAGATAACCAGTCACCATTAAATGGTAGTAGCTAGTCACCATTCTTTGGTGGTAACCAGTCACTATTAATGGTGGTTACCGGTCATTTGTACTTGGTATTAACAGAGTTTTTTTTATCTTGAAGGGGTCACTCCTTCTTACATTCCATCTACATCTATTATTTCTACGCTGATCTTTTTAACTCGGTCCTATTTATCATTAAAATTGGGTTAGGATGAGAATTGTAAAAGCGATAAGTCTATTGTAGTACATAACTCACATTGTTACCTTACTTAAGCCTCTCTAGATTTTTGGTGGAATATGCCCCATGGTTTGGACTCTAACAGAGTTCCATGGCGCAGTAAAAAACTTGGACAAGCATTAGCATACATAATTTTGTTGAATATTCATGCTATTTACTGGTCGAAGCTTGAAAAATCTTCGGATTTTTTTTACCCTGATATCCATCTCTGAAATTCCATGGCCTGCTCATTACATGTCTCTTTTATGAGTGCTTACTGTTTTCTCTCCCCTTTTTACATAGCATTGGGTTACATGTCTCTTTGTGTTCACCACTGATCTCTTTGAGTTTTGAACTGCTTGAAGATTCTACCAAAAAGGGATAACTACTTAAGCTCTGAAGATTTTTTATGGAAATAATACACACAAATCTTAACTTGCCTCCATGAATTATTTGTAATGTAAACAGGCCATGGGGCAATTCACACACACACACACATCACTAGTTCATGTTAATTGTTTCATTTCCACTACAATCATTGACTGAATTTTAATTTTGTTTTGAGTCATTCAAATTATATACCATTCACGTTTATTTTCCATGCTCTCTTTTTCTAAACAATGTTATGCTAGAAAATTCAGTTTAGGAGATGCTGTTAATTGGCAAGTATGTGACTCAATTGATCATTCAAAACATTTAACTTCTGGTGCTCTTGGAGAACCTGTGTGGAGAACTATTTGGTGCTGTCAGGATAATTGTGAAACTTAAGGGATATGCTAGAACCTATTCATTTTCTTCAGTTATTCTCAGCTGAGCACATCTGAAAGGATTTTGTAAGGATTGAAAAAAAATCATTTTATTGGAAAAACAAGGAATACATAAAAATAAAGCTGTGAGAAAGAGGAAGTGAATGAAATTCAATGGATAACACAATGACAATGACTCTACCAAAAAACAAGAAAAAAAACTGGACGATGAAATTGGTAATTTTTAAATCTATTTTCTTGGGTAATGGGGGTTTAATCTTTCTGCTCCTTGTTTTGAGACCATTTTTAACACTTTTAAAAGTTTTGAACCTACATTAGGAATAGGGGCTCTAACCTGGGTCTTTATTCTGGAAAACTTAACTTGAGATGATTTTAGTTTTGTAATGAACTGCTTTATTATCCAATCAGATTGCTGTATGTACTTAAAATCTGGATTAATTTAATCTTTAAGTTTTCGAGATGGACTATTCACAAAGTTTTGTTGTAATCACTAACACCCTGTCACCAATTGTTGTATTGAAGTAATAAATCTGTACTTTGATTTAAGGGACTGTGTAAAATGGGGCTATTATAATAATATTTGAACATTAAACATTATGTTATACACATAATGATGTTCTAATAGGTGTCACATCACATATTCACAGAGGTTATTGACCTGTCTTGGTTCTGAGGACTGACTGGAAATATAATTTTAAACAATTATGATTTCTTTTGGCTTATATTGATATAACTGATTATTGCATTTTACAATACATATTCTTCTTTATTCACATAATAATAGTAATTTATTGTTAAATGAGATATTCTCAATTCTTGTCAACCAGGCACTCTGATTTTTTACATTTTTGTAACATTATAGGTGGAACTTTGAGTTTTGGCTTTACAGATGTCTATTAAGTGTCTTCATTTTTAGCCACAATGATTGCTTTAAATCAATTTAGTTTCACTAAGCTTTCCCAATACCTGTTTTAAGTCTAAAAGTTACTATTCACTTTTCACTCTGGTAGTACAAACTTATTATATGTTGCAAAAATACTGAAAATATACCAGGAGGCTGTGCTAGTTAAGTAAAATTATCAAACAGAAACTTTAAATGATAATTGAGACTGTATGGTAATTCTGAATTCTTCAGATGATAGTATTTTCTTACCTTCACTAAAGAAGAGTGGTGATTGATTAGGGAGTGTTCAGCTGTATTGTTATGATAATTTTATGGTATCAAATCCATGTTTATGATAATTTTTTCCATATTAGAATGAGGGAGGGCTTATTTTGACATGTTAACAGACAGGATAATAACCTCCAAAACATCTCTCATGAACTTTAACCTGATATGTGATCTGATTTTGTGACAGGGTGACAATAAGCATTGATGTCAGTATATTCTATCCTATGGATTATAATTGAATTAGAAATCCAACCAGTATAAGCCTTGGGGACAGTTCAATAATGATTCTATATCTCCTTAAAAGGGGATAAATTTAATATTAGAAAATTAGATAAGCAGTTTAATTCACTCCGAAGTAACTGGCCATGCCACAATTCTCTGTCAGATTTTCTTTTAAAATTCTTAATTTTTCCCTTTAGTTCATTCAGTATTTGAGCACCATTTTTGCTTGTGTCAAGTTAGCCTTAAATCATAAATTATATTCACATTAAAAAACTCCTTGTGTCTTGGACTATCATATCATCTTTAACATGACCTACAACAAACCAGAAATTGCAATGCCTTATAAATAAACAGGTTTCCTTAAGTTGTCTTTCACGAGTTTGTTGATTGTTGATTACTGGATTGGATTCATATATTGGTACATAAAACGACCGTAGGATTTTTCCCTTTTTATAATATTAGTGGAATATTAAAATCTGAAACAATCTCTCTAAAACCATACAGCAATATTTAAAGTAAAGTGCAGTGTATTTAGTTGTTAAAAATTCTCCAGGTGTTTGACAGTTATAATTTTCTGTTAACTAAAGTTTTATCATTTGAACTTCAGAGTCATTAGAATGAGTTGACATAACCTTCTACAGTAAAACTTAACAAATACACTTATACAAATTCTCAAACAAATTTTAAAGTTGCACTTCAATGATGTTCTGACTTGCAATTATTAGAATTTATCTGCCACTTTATGATTACTGAAAAGACAATAAAATTCTGTACTGCTGTACTTTATATCTTACATGATATAAGTCCCATTAACCAAAGCCCTGGGTGCTACATACAGGCTGTGCACGTTTAAAATAGACAGTTGGGAATAAAAAAAAAAAAATAGCAGAGTAGTGCCGCTGTCCTGGTCCTTTTCCTTCATTGCACACTGTATGGTGTTGCTCATATTTATAAACCCAATCAGGAAGTAAAACTCTATTCACTTAATTTAATTTTCTATCTACATTAACCAAATTAGGTGCAGAAAAGTAGGACATTAAACTCCATTCATTTCATTTCATCTTATCTTATGTGATGGACAGAAGTTTTTTGATTTCCTATAAAGCAGAAATGATCCATACTACAGTTGGTAATTTCTCAAATCAAATAATAAAGCTGTTCATGCACTTTTGACATAAAAATGAGGAACTATACAATAAACATATAAAAACATAAACAAGTTAATAACATTAGAATAAGATTATTTATGATAAAATATGCAAATTGATGAGAAATGTCAAATTAGGAGGACATGAGATGTAAACAATGTGGATAATGATATTTTACAAACAGCCTAACCTTATTATCTGTTATATTAGTTCAGTATATCTACCTCAATATACATTGTTAACATATTTTATTTTTCTGAGAATTTGTCTCCATGAATAGGAAGTAAACCTGACTGGGAAATCAACATTCTTTTTGTCATGAATTAGGGTCATATCAAAACTCATTTACTGAGTTCAAGTTTTGCTTAGAATTTCTAATGTAAATTTCCATAATTCCTGTAGGCCTCTAGGCAGAGTTGAGTTTCATCCATCTACAGTAATTATCAGAATTAACTTCAGACTTATGGTTAGACTATAATTTAAAAACAATTTGGCCAAAGACAAGCTAGTAGAATTAGTAGAAGTAGATTATTGTGAACCTTAGCCGTTATCCTTGTAAAATAATGGATGTGTCTTTCTTTCCTACAGACCACTACACCAGTAAAATGCATCTGTAGTCTAGGATGTTTATGTCACAAGGCAGTAAAAAAAGCTCTCTGCTATTAACGGTAGTTCTATTATCTGTTAAAATGAAAGGAGTAAAATTTTATTACAATAAAAGAGCAGGAGAATTTGTACACTATAACTGTAATAGTGGTAGGCTAACTGTTGAAGTGTAAACTGAAACCTAGAGCCTGAGGTGATGTTTTGGGTGACACCTAATACACTGTTACACTCATCAACCTATCAATCAAAGTTAAAACCAATAATTAATATAATTATTAATAGATATAGAATTTCTTTCAATTTGTTTATAAAATATTTCCACTGAATCATTTACTTGAGTCGTCCACCCAAGAAATGACATTTTGAGATGTGGTTTGAAAACTGTTTGAGGAAACTTGTTTGTAAACAAACTGGACTTAATGAAAATGTTGTTTCATTTGGAAAAGTGTTCAAAATTTCTGTTGGATTTTGTTATTGGTGAGTCAGTTTTTGAGTTTATGTCTTTCTATATTTTGAGAGGTAATTTAAATCAAAAGTTAATTCAGAAATTGCTTTATTGTTTTAAAATGTTGCTTTACCTTCAATGAAAAGCATTTGAGAGTTTGTTAGAAAAGAGGCACATTTTCTTAAGGAGTGAACAAGAACCTGTTTAGTAATCCTAAATCCATATCTAATACTAGATTTTTTGGTTGATTTTATAGTATTTGTGTGTATAAATTGGATGTGAAATGGGTTTTCACTCTATGTAATTTTGCTTTGTGATATTTTTATTCTTTTTCTTTAATGTTTTTGCCTGAAGTCAGTTATTTGCAATTGATAAGG